TCAAAATAGGTATTTTTTTCTTAATATAAGTGCATTTTTTCTTGAATTGAGAAGGAAAGTGAGACACTTTGCCAATAAAACAAGACAAATTACATTTAAGAATAAGAATAAAAACAACTGCATTGTCTTATTTTAAGTACATTTTTCCTGATTATCTTATTTTAAGAGTAAAAATACTAATTTCATTAGCAAATCATATTATTTAACTACAGTACTCTGCTTAAGGGTAAATACTCTTACTTTTGCTTATTTTTAAATTTTTTTGGCAGTAATATCTTGGTCTGAAGTAGAACTGGATTGATACTGATCCTACAATACTTAATCCTTGGTCTTAGAGCTCATCTGGGTTTTTTTTTATTTTTTATTGTTAAATTCTTTTGTGTTGGATTAATCATTCACAGGCTAATGAGATCAGAAAAAACACACAAAAACCCTAGTGTGCAACATAAGCCCCTAGATTTGCTTTTATAAAACAACAGAAGTTTAAAGCTCATTGTAATAAAATGAATAATAACGCAAAATTGTTAATGAGAAAGTGATTTACTATTAACTATTAACATTGGAAACTGATAAATTTAGGAAAGGTTTGTGCTAATCTTTATATTTTACTATAACAGCAACAGCTAATAGATCTTCCAGACATGTTGGCCCCTCTTGTATTTAATAAAGGCTTTGTATTAAATAAAGTGTGTTAAATTCAAAGTGTAAATTTAATTTATGTTACTCTTGATGTCACTGTATTGTTTTACATTTTCTCTATATATTGATGGCTCGGCTAAACATTCTGGAACGAAAGTAAGCTGCTCCATGAGGGGCCCCACTGTCCACATAACCTTTAGCTGAATAAATCAAAAAGTTGCTTCGTTTTCAGCCAAAAAAGATAATTTTCAAACCATAAAATTAGATTAAGCTATGCTATGTTATTAAAGAGACATTTCTATTGCATTTAATTAACTTCTGTAGTAAAGTAATATGTATAAAACACATGCTTCTTAGTGTTTTGGGGTTTTATTTGTTTGTTTATTTAGAAATCAAGAAAGAAAATCTGTTGCACCCTGGTTTTCCTTATATAAGATGACTAAAACAGCGCTATTATGGTATAAAAATAAATACCCAGTCTGGCCTGGAAAAGCTTTGGCAAAACCAAAGACAGATTACTTCACTTAATTCACCTATGGGGTTCTATATACTTTAATTTAGGCCTGAAATTTTGTAAAAGTAAATTTTCCCCACTGCCTAAATCACCAACAGAATTGATGTTTTGTTTTTTTTCATGCTCACCTTCTGTCCTCTCCCTTCAGATCTCCACCCTGCGGCGCCAGGGACGCACTCTGCTCTCCACCGTGCCAGAGACCGCTGAGAAAGAAGCTTCCTCTCTGTTTGTCCAAGAGGTAATACCAATACTTACATGGATGCTTGCCCACTTTGACCATTTTCTATCCCTCCATGCTTGCCAAAGGCTAGACTCTGACTGAATCCCTGCAATGTCTTTTTGATTGATGTGCTGCCATGTTTGATCTACTTTTAGCAAAACGAGTTTTCTTTCCATTTAAATAGAGTACCTAGAATTCATACCTGTCAGGCCTCAGGCGGATACTGGTCCTCTTGATTAGAGATTAGTGATTTGATTTGCTTTTACATGTAAAACCAGTTGAATTGCAGAGAGATTTACTGAGAAATGCAAATTCTGATCATCCATTTGATTTTAAGGAGAAAGAAAACTCATCTGGTGCACATTTGAAATGTCCCCGTTGGCCTTTATGTGAACTTTTATTTGTGTTCTCCACCCTCCAATTTCCTGACAGTAAGTGTGCAGTGGATTATCCAGAGATGGACTCCGTACTTTATTGGTACTTGACCCTCGTGTTGCTTGAGAGAAACGTAGTGCTCAGGACAGTCGTGATGGACCTCAGTAAATAGTCCCCCATTGCCTTAGCTGGGCGTTACATCATAACTGCATCTGGAACAGCTGGGGTTACTTATACAGATGTTTTTTTATTATTTATTTTTCCACTTATGGTGACCTTTTGTCTTGGACATTATGTGTTTTTTTTGGTGGGAGGAGGGAATTCACAGAGCGAACACAGAGTGAGATAAGGGATATTACTGTTAGTTTAATCTGCACGATGCTTTGAAATAGTATTTACTGCAATAATTGTTTGTTAAACGTATTTTTCCCCAATTTTAACACTAAAGATAACTTATGTCCACATCAAAGATGTAATTACCCTGTCTGAGTTATAACAGCCCTATAAAAGCAAAAGCATTGTTGAATTTGCAATAAAAAGCAGCTGAGTGTTAGATTAATGTCGTATTTATCTGATATTGATTTAACCGTAACTGAAGCCGCTTCAGCTGGAACTTGATCTGCTCTCCTCTAACCTCCATTTCTCCCTTTCTCAGTGCATTCAAACGTACAAGTCGGACTGGCATGTGGTCAACTACAAGTATGAAGAGTATTCTGGAGACTTTCGCCAGCTTCCACAGTAAGTGTGTGTAATTCTGATGTGCTAAGCGAGGCTGCAGGACTCTGCGTCTGAAGCTTTAAATATACAGACAGAAATTAGGAAACAGGAAGTCCTTGCAGCAGACTGGTCATTATGGGGTTTGCAAATTTCAGGAAGGTCAGATTAAAGCAACAGTTTAGTTGCTCTATGCAAATTGCAGCAGGCTTTGTTGTTTTTATCTCCAGACTTGTCCTGGCCTCTACTAGCTCTATTTCAGATGTTTCTCTATATTCTAATTGTCAGTAATTTAACTGGTATTTATGGAATTATAAGATCTATAAATACATGTACTCCCTCACTAATGTTCCCTCTAAAGCATTTAGAGAATCTCATTGTGTTTCATGACCCTGCCCTTTGTTTGCCGCTGTGTGAATGAGGTACACTGAACTCTAGAAATAAGGATACCTGCCATGGAGGCCCTAGAACAACAATAGAGGACTTCCTGTGTTTTTCATACCCAGATATGGAGCACTATTTTAGGACCAATGTTGACTAATAGCATTTAAACAAAAGGAAAATTCCACAATGGTCTGCGTGTGCTTGGTCAAAGTGCTTTCTTTGAGCGTAGGAATGAACTTGGCAGATGTTTAAATCATGGAAGAGCAAAAGACAGACGCTGGCCTTGGTTCGGAGTCTGTTTAGAGAAGTAGTTCCTCAGGGAAAGTTGGGTTGTTTATAGATGTGTTGTTTGAGTTGAAAGGTAGAATAATCAATGGTACATATTAGTGCTGTTAACCTGAACTATTTTATATTAGAACCAATGAATCCAGTGCATTTTGGAGAAAATGTATGTGTCTTCACAGATTTCTTTTTTTTTTTTTTTTTTGCAATTAAACATCTGATAAGTGTGGCATGGATTTGTATTCCACCCCCTCAGAATGTATACCTAAGAGCTGCACATCTTCTGGAATATGTGTCTTCTGGTTTTTTACATCTAGTGACAAAGATTTTGTCTGTAGCTCAGTCAGACTGGATGGGAAGTGGCTGCGAACATAAACATTAACTTGCATGTTATGATCTAAAAGGTACTAGATGTACGAACACTTTTTCAATGCGCTGCACATTGCTTCAATGTCAGCAATATTTTTCAGTTGAAGCAACTAACCTGAAACAAAAAACTGTCTCCCTTCCTTTAAATGCATTTTCCTGTTTTGCTTTTGTCTCAGGATTAAAAGATTTACGCCTTCAAACATATTTAAATAACAGAAAAAAAATATCAGATTCAATTAAAAAAAAGCTGCTTTGTAATTCTGCATTTTTTTAATGAGTGGAAAAAGCTGTCAAGCTAGTGTTGAAACAATTAACCGGATTAATCGATTATTAAAATAATCGTCAACTAATTCAGTAATCAATGAATCGTTAACTGGAGTATAGAGACTCCAAAACATGCCTCTACCTGACAAAGCAACCGACTTAGAGTTAATTTTACCAAAATTGTGGAAAAATATATAAATATTTTGCACTCAAGATGAAAAAAAACTATTTTTCTCCTGTCAACATGCTCTATTCAGAACTCAACAAGTCGAAAAGTTTTAGTTTCTGTGTAAAATCTTCTTTAATGGATCTTTTACGGTATTAATAGAAAATATTATCAACAGATTAATGGATCATCAAAATAATCATTAGCTGCAGCCCTATATCAAACCAAGCTGGCTCTCCGTGGCAAAGCTTTTTTCCCCTCAACCTCGTAACCACCCTTAGCTAACACAGCTACTATCCAGCGCTTGTTATAACTGCAGATAAATATTTTGCATCGCTATTGAACAAAATTTCCATCAAAGGCCGTGGGTGGTAACAGGTGGTTTTTGGATTTGCACGCACTTTCAAGTTGACTTATTTATTGTCAAAGCAGAGTAAAAATAATTACTAAAAAAACTCTTGAAACGTAGTTGAAATGAAAAATAATCTTAATTTAATGATTGACACCCTAAAAAAGTGGTCAAAACCTGCGGTCCACACCAGACATTTACCAAACAATCCAACCAGCACCTGGTGTGTTCTTAATTACTCAAATTAATAGAAGGGTCCAACAATTAACAACGTAATCTAAACAATTCCAAATATAAAAAATGTATTACAAATGTTGGTTCTAAATTAACTTCAATATATTCTAACTAACCAAACAAGAAAACTAAATTGGTAGAAATGACAAAGTACAAAATTTAGCATAATGGCCACAACAGCACTTATTTGCTGAGTTAATATTAATTTTCTGTGGATGGTTTTCCATTACCATAGACCTTGTCTAAAGTAAAGCCACTGAATTTATTTTTGAGTCTGCAAATGAATTTATGCGTAAACATGGCTTTATGGGGTCTGTTTATATAAATATAACCTTTTTTTTTCCAGTAAGGTGTTGAGACCTGACAAACTTGCTCCCCACGTGTTCGAAGTTGACGAAGACGTAGAAAAAGACGAGGTAAGGCTACTGCTTCCCCGCTCATCCACTCCTGATTAATAGAAAGTAGAGTTTATGAACCATAGGTTTACATGTCTCATCTTGAATCTGCCCTCAAGTCTTCTTTTATTCCCTCCAGGATGCAGCCTCCCTTGGATCCCAAAAGGGAGGAGTGTCTAAGCATGGCTGGCTCTATAAAGGCAACATGAACAGCGCAATTAGTGTTACTATGAGGGTGAGTCTCTCCAGAAAGAGGATTTCCTACAAACAGGAAGTGATCCACCGCAGAAGCAGCCTGTTTCAGGACAGCGAGGGCAAAAAAAAAAAAAAAACAAGCAGTCGACGGTTTTACAAACTTAAGAAAATATGGAATACATATCCATTGAAGTGTTTATGTTTACAGTATAATTTCTGAATGTTTAACTTTTTTAGATTTAGTTTTGACCTACCTCGTTAAAGATGAAGTTCAGTTTTGGATTGAGTTTTTTCCACATGGTTCCTGTTCCCCCTTAGGGCTGATAAACAACCAGGGATTAAACTTTTTTTCTTTTTTATGTAATGTTATGACAGAGTAAAGTTTGTGATTTTGTAAGAACACATGTTAAACACTGCAAAAGGGAATTTATTCTTGATAAACCTTGATCTTCACTCTACCCACAGATGAAACAATATAATCGATGCATCAATTTCAGCCATATTTCTCTTCACCAAACAATCAAATTCCATTAATTTAAAGGAGAAACTAAAACATTTATTCTATGAATGTGTTTTTTGCATTTCAGGACAAATATGTCTTTCTTTTTTACTTTGTGCTTATAGAAATCAGATTGACCTTTGCTGTAGAGAACCCATGTTGTTTTCACTTAGTCCATCCAGCTTTCCCATGCTCTGTTTCCTCTTTATTTTTAGAACAGGACCAATTAGGAACTCTGGGGTTGTTAACATGCTTTATTCTAATCCTTCAGTCTTTCAAGAGGAGATACTTCCATCTGGCTCAGCTGGGAGATGGATCCTACAACCTTAACTTCTACAAGGATGAAAACACCTCCAAGGAGCCAAAAGGAACCATCTTTCTGGACTCGTGCATGGGGGTCGTTCTGGTAAAGGTTTCCTCGAGAGATTCTTTGATAGTTCAGTTTGATAACAAATGCTGATAAATTTCATTAATACCTGCTTTTTCAGAATAGCAAAGTGCGTCGATTTGCCTTTGAGCTGAAGATGCAGGATAAGAGCACCTTCCTGCTGGCTGCTGACAGCGAAGCAGAGATGGAGGAGTGGATCAGCACCCTGAATAAAATTCTCCACAGCAGCTTTGAACAGGCCATGCAGGAGAAAAGGAACGGAGACCTGATCGATGGTATCTCCTCAATCAACTCTTTTAGCTGCATTTGGTCACAAATGCTTCTGTTTTTTTTTTTTTAAGATTTCTGTACATGTGTTTAAAAAAACCACCCAAAGATGAAAATCAATTATGCATCACAAGTAACTTCCAAGCTTAACTGACCTCTTTTTTATTCTTAAAGGAATAGTACACCCAAAACATGATTAGCCTTCATTTTCTACTCACCCCCATGCTGAACAACACTCTGGAGTACTTTTTT